GCAATGTTTCGTTCTGCTGTGCATGGGGTCGCTATGAGTCGGAAACGACTCGACGGCACTTAACAACAACAACATCATCACAGATGGGAAACAGGACCAAAGGGATTAGAGGATTTGTCAAAAGTCACATGGTCCAAATTCTTTGGCTCCTAGTTTGGTGTTATTTTCAATGGTTCTAGTAAGAAAATTGGTGACTCAACAGAAAGAAGATAGGAAAGGAGGAGGAGAAGGTAAGAATTAAGGGTGGGATTAGGGGCAGTGATTAAATGATCATGTTGTTGTTCTCGTTATGTGCCATCGAGTCGGACCAGACTCATAGTGACGCCCCCCCTTGGGTTTCCGAGGCAGTATCACTACGGAAGTAGATTGCCCAACCTTCCTTCCAAGGAGTGGCTGGTGGGTTTGAACCACGAACCTTCTGGTTAGCAGTCAAGTGCCTTAGGCACTATGCTACCAGAGCTCCTAAATGAATCACAGTACTTAATAAAATATTACGCAGCTGTTAAAAATAATGGTAATAAAGACTATGGAAGACAATGACAAAACACTGTTAAATGTAAAGATCAGTATACAACATATATAAAAACATCAACGACAGGTATGCAAAATTTCTTATAGAGAAAGGCAAAGTTACATATTATAACAAAAGCACACTTTTCCATTCCTTTGATCTGTTTCCCAAGTTTTCTGCCATGTGATAATACTTTGATAATTTCAAATAGTTCAATAGGCCCTTGAGTGAGAGAAAACTATGAAACCCAATAATTATTGGGAAAGTTCTTCCGGCTGTAGAGATAGCAGCAAGAATGAATGCTACATGAGTATTTTGAAATCATTTGCAATCATCTTCAAAACAAACCAGTTTAACTCTGCAAGGCACAGTAATTGGTTCAAAAGCCTCTTGTCCTTTCAGTTACTGATAAAAATCCAGGTCAAGTTGATAATGGCTTTCAATCGATATCATCTCTAGACTTTTCAATGAGTGACCTTTGGAGAACTAATTGGGGCCATTCATTTCCTAGGAACAGCTGTCCGGATCATAAAATTCAAGAGGACATGGATTTCTCTTCTTGGAAATCCTATCCTGGATGCCAATCACCAAATGCCACAGATAGTGGCAAATAGAAGAATAAAGCTATTATCTCCAAAGGTGAGGAACCCCCAGGAGGGACAGACCAAAGAAATATGTTCAGCTTCTCTGTAGGATGAATAAGTACATGTTTGTAAGTCACTACATATGCCAATAGGAAGTTTAGATTCTAGATTACCTTTCTAGAATCCATTAAATCCAGTTAAAGATACCCAGGCATACATTCAAATTTCTCTAAAAAAGGTTTTATATTAGGCACCCAATGAATTTTCTGAACATTTAACGCAATCCAGAATTTATACCTATATTTTTCCTTATATAAACAGCAAAGTAAAATGCAAGGATGATGTTTGTAGATGGCTTTGCCCATAAGTAATATGTGTATATATATACATACATACAGTGGTAGTTAAGTTTGTGTGTCAACTTGGCTGGGCCTGGTTGAGTGGCTGGGCAGCTGGATGTAGTTATTCCCCATGGTGAGACTGGTAATCAACTCCATGGTGGAATCTACTGGAGCAGCTGAGTAGCTGCTTTGAGTATGTGGTCTTCTTCCTGTACATAAGCAGCAGCTTTGGGAATGGTCTCTAGCTTATAGCACGCTTGAACCCTGCATGTAGCCATGTCGCTCTTCAGCAGCCTGCCATGCTGTTCTGACCTTAGGACTTTCAATGGACTTAAATTAACGGCCTGCCATGTGGCTTGGTAACATCGGGACTGTGCCTTTTTACTTGTCAACCTGGGGCTTGGCAGCCTCAGCAGCCAGCAGGTGTCTGAGTGAAGAGATGCCTCCAGCTTCAGTGTGCCAGGAGTTGGAGGCAGAGCTGAAGCCCAAGGTTGAGGGGCTTTCACCCAGCCCTTAAGCCTGGCACTTTGAACTCAGACTTAAAGCCTCCAAACTGTAAGAGAATAAGCTCCTGTTTGTTAAGGCCATCCCATTTGTGGTATGTTCCTGTCACGGCGGCACTAGGGAACCGGAACACATACCTATAATACAGGGTGATGCTCTGATTTAACAATCTACATATATGGTGCACTGTGGAAGATGCAGTTCCTGCAGGCAGCCACAGGAAGGCAATTGAGGGAGCGCCAGGCAGCCAGTACACCAGCCCTGGAGCCAGATGCCCTATGTCCATTATAGAGGGCAAGGGGAGTCAGTCTTCTCTGGCCAGCAGAACACTCAGGATAGAAGCCAGTGTGTGGAAGTTACATACGGCTGACTGGAAGGTTGGTGGACACCAGGGTACCCCCTCCAGTGACCACTCTTGGCTCTCCTGGGCCATGATGGCCAGGGGTCACTTGGGAGAGTTGAGGGCAATGTCTGTTTTTACCAAATAGTACAGAATCATTTCAATATTTTAACAGTTTGTTTTACTGGCACATTCCATCTGAATATCACCTTGCTCTTACACAGAGGAGCTTTGTGTTACACACACACACACACACACACACAGACAGACACACACACGAATGTTCTCCTGGCCAAAGTAGATCAAGACCCACCCCAGAGGATATTATGTTAGTTCACATAATAACTAGCTACCTCTAAATAAATATTTATGTTTATGAATGTATCACTCACCAAAAACATTGATGATGATCTCTGAAAAAAAAATACTCATATCCAATTCTCCTAGTAAATGAGGACCAGCTATGACTGACTTTAGCTTCTACTGCAATTTTCCACTGGCTTCCTAAGCATGAGTGAAGTGCTTAATGTGCTGGTTATTCACCTGTGGTCTCTCAGCTACATGTCCACCCATCACTCTATTCTACAACGCTCCAGCTGGCAATCTGAAACTCTTCCCCAGGCCCCATTGCCAGTTGGCTTCCTGCCAACAGGAGCAACTAGGGGAAAACAGAAAGGTGGTAAGGGGAAAGGGTGTTGTGCTATGTTCGCCTTCTCTCCCTCCAACCCCATACTCTCTTTCTCTCTTCTCTGACCCGCTTGCTCACTGGCACTCGAGCATTCACTCTCTTCTCTCCTTTGTTCTTGTGGCAACAACTGTGGAAGAAGGTCTAGGCCCTCCTCCATAGCCCCAAGTCTGGCAGGCCAGTTCCTCCTCTGGTCTCCTAAGTGGTAGTACCATCACCTCCTATCTTTTGTGCCCCTGGGTGAAGGGGTGGTAGCCGGCTTCCTGAAGTTATCAATTGCTACTTTATCTCACCTTCCCCTTCCTTGCCTTCCAACCTATTTCCTGTATTAAATACCCTCTGTTTGAAATACCTAGTGTGGTTTTTGTTTTCCTAGCTGATATACAACAGTCTTTGCAAAACTGGCATAAATTTTCTCTCAAATCTATTTCCATAAAGGATTAATGAAATGGAACACTTTATAAGGCTAACTAGAAAATAGTC